CCTAATATGATAAAAAAAAAAATATTTGATATTGCGTACCTGATACCCTTTTGCAATGTTTCGATTTCTTGTTTTAGGATATGGGTTTCCTCTTTAGCATCCTGAGCAATGAGTATGGTATAACGTACGTTAGTAGGACTTTGTGAACAAGAACAATGTTATCATAATAGAACAGAGTTGCGACTCGTTAATAATAATGGTGACCGAGAAATAGATACAGAATAGGATAAATTGCAAAAGTTTGATACCGTACGAGGCATACATAAGTTATAGAGGGCCTATATTTTTTATTTTTTGGTAACTGATGTTAATTACCTCTTTGAGACGAATCAGAACCCCGGCATCCCTACAGGTTCGACTCTTTGAGCCGCTTATGAGACTAATCCAGAGTTAAATATTTTTAGATCGTGCACTACTTAAATATTTTTCCACCGTTAGTTTATGATATATTTGTCTCTCTTTCTTTTCTCAATATATTTTTTAAACTCAAGAGATGTACTTGGTTTTACCATGAATGTATGACACTTAAAACCGCCTTAACTAAATTGGAAAGCGAGAAGTCATGCTAGCTGTTGCAAAGCACGATATACCTGATCTTATAGAATAGAATCTAGTCCTATATGTTGATTATCTTAATTCACAGTCCACATATTATTATTATTATTATCATCATTATCACTATATTATTATTTTATTATGCAGTGATCGATGATAATGCATCAAGCAGCTAGCATCCAATGCCACTCACTCTTTTACATATTATAATAACAAGGATAATTATTCCTTTTCTTCTCTCACAGCATACTTGCTTTATTGGCTTAATTAGCTGTTTTCTTATTTCTCATATAGTCCTTTGCAGTTGCAAACTTAGCATAAAAAGAGACATAGAATGCTATAGCATACCAGAGGAAGTGCTTCGGGGACCGCTTCAGGTCGTGTGAACTTCATGTACCTCTCTATAAGCCCTTGCATGGTTCTTTCATATATATATGAATGATGCAAAAAAAAGAAGAAAAATCAAAGTGAAAAGTCAGAGACCACAATATATATATACACGTTTGTCTGAGTACATATATATAGAGAGAGAGAGATATATAGAGATACCCTTTGGTGGCGAGTTCATAGAGCTTTCCATGAGCGGAGAAAATGACAAGGCCAATTTCAGCATCGCACAGCACAGAGAGCTCCTTAGCCTTCTTAAGAAGCCCTGCTCGACGCTTGCAGAAGGTAACTTGTCTGTGCACTGAGTTCTCAATACGCTTCAGCTGAACCCTTCCGCGAGCCATTATTGATCAATGTTTGATGCGATGGTTTTTTTTGAGTTTCTTTCTTTGGAAATTTGAGTATATATGAGTTTGTTTTGTGTGCTTTCTATGCACACAACCTCCCACTAGTTTGAACTAGCTTCGAGGTTGCTGCAGGCAGGTACGTAGTACCCTTTCCAAGAGTTTTTCTCTAGCAATTTTTCTTCAGTTTTGTGTGATTGAAGGCCTTATATATATAACACCATTATAAGATTTAACCTTCGACAAAGGGAATCATCACTTATTAAACTATAATATTAACGTTAATCAATTATATGAAATATTAGCAGCTACTTTACACCTCATTAAGTTTTGTTTAGTCTCTCATATTCATCACTTGGTAGTGTTATGGGTTCCAATTTATTTTGATAATAAATCGCATCAAAGCATGTGATACTAAAGGTAATACTGGTCATTTCAGCCATAGAATATGGTTCATTTTGGTAAAATATTTATGCGCAGGCTTTATTCCTGAGCAATTAATAGGCGAAAACTGTCCATGTCCAATCATGCATGAAAAAGGAAAACATAATATATGATATTCTACTCTGTTCTGCACCTAGGAGGGACTACTTTTTCCATGTTTTCAAGGATTAGATTAACACAGAAATAATTAGAAGGGCCTTCCTATTGCACGTTAACTTGTACTGAACTGTGTTCGAATAAAACCAGGAATCCAATCAAGTTGAAGAATGTAAAGCATAAAACGGTCTTGAGCTCAACTGTTATTATATCACATCAAATCCTGAGGGTATTCCCCTGATAGGCTGCTATCTCTTTTGGTGATCATTTTTAAAATAGTGCGCTCTGCACTCAACTACACAACCAGGAATCCTATTAATAGTCAAAATCCGAATTTTTTTTGCATCGGGAAATTCGGTCTTATCTTTCGAAATAAATAATAGAATGGGGGCACATAGATTAAATTAAATGTGAGCAGGGAATGCCTCTAAAGAAAGCTGAGGGTCATTAAGTACAAGGTTAAAAACCACTCTCTTTTAAACTCGACTAGCGAGCGTGGAGTGGAGAAAATCCTTGTACGTAACCTTACCTTTACATAATTGCAAAAACAACAGTTTTACCACTGCTCCGGCTCGCCCTCTTTTTTCTTTTACAAGGTAATTGAACAAATTTCTTTTTGTTTTAATTCTTACTCATTGGTTCTTATTTTATAATTTTTAATGTTCTAAACTACTGATTTATAGTAGAGAGAATGGATTAAATAACCCAATCAACTAACTAACTTGAAGCTAACCAACTTGTAACAGAAATCATGTGCATCCATGGGCACTCTCTTCTGTAACAATAATGTTTATTTTCAAGGCAAAAATATCTGCTGATAAGAAATATCATAATAGGAGAAAAGGGATAATTATGATTTATGAGTTAAGGGATTGCACTAATAGCAGGGGAAAATTTTACTCTGACAAATACCAAATTAAAATGAATCACCATGGATATGCCTACTAGCTGTAGGAAAACTCAAAGCCAAAACTTTAACAGCTTTATACATGGCTTTTGCCACAAGATATTCACTATTTTTTTTTTCTTTTCTTTTCTTCTGTGGCAATAGGAATACCCTAATATAGGATGCAATTGTGTGTCAATAGCTTTCACTTTTCATTGACTCTGGTCAAAGGGAAAAGGGCGTATAAAAGCGGAGTTCAATTGCCAAATCTTGAGGGAGGCCTTGATGTTTAAGCCCGTTGCATTGTTGAACAGAAATAATCTTGCAGCTCCATATATTGCTTCTGTTGGATAAACTCTGGATGTGATCACAGTTCTCCCTCCCTGACCAAAGCTCTCAATGATTGAATGGTCAACCTGATCATATTGGAAATTTAATTGTCACGATATAACTTTCATATTTAGGAGAACCAATATAACTTTTCATCCGAGACCATAAATGTGTAAGGAAAATATAAGAATCATGTTGGGGAAATTCTTACAACAAAAAAACAATTATATATTATGAATAGTACATAGTTATAATAGGTATAAAAAGAAAATTTAATATTATAACTATATACTACCCGTAGTACATAATTATAAGAGGTATGGAAAAAAAACTACATACTATATCCGTATAATTTAGTGATAGAAAATAAAAGCCTAAAATGGATGGTACGTTGATGTATCTGTGAGCAGCTGTTAAAGAATATATACACACAGAAATGGTTCAAGAGTTGAGCTGGAAGCACAATAAGCATATATCTTATTCTTATTCCCACTTACCAATACCCTCGCTGATAGTTTTTCATCACTGAGAACTGCAACTTTGCTTCCATAAACGAGCTTTGAAACATCAGGAGCCTTTGATGACCTGCATTATCCAACAACATTACTCATATATTATCAAACTAATGATTTCATCTTTTTCTTCTACAAAAAGAGAGACAAATTGAAATCAGTGAATGAAAATTTGTACCTAGTTTCATCAACACAGAAGGAAGTGGTTGAACTGCCATTGCTAGTACTAGAAAGACGGAAATAAATTGGTGTTAGTTCAGAAAGTTTGTCATCTGCAATAGCCAGAATGCCAAATGGTCCCAAAGCACTTCTGTCAACAGCTCCACCTCCACACCCTGCATTGTCATTGCCAATCCCTTCGGATGTCAACAACTCGATTTCAAATTCAGCAAATATGTCCAACTGAAATTTTTTCAGGAAATGTCAATAGTTGAATAATGGAACGTTAATGAAAATTACTACTTAATTATAATACAACAAACACTACTACGTGAGTTACTTAATGCTATATAGACAAATTAAACCTGTGTTGCCGAGTCTATGTCCAGTGGCACAACTGAGCCAGGTTTAACCACAACTCCTTCAAATTCAGCACTGCTTAGTCTTAAGCTCTCTACTTCTTCTACTGGCCATTGAAGCAAATTAGTTCCAGTCTTCTTGTCAAACACCACTGTTCTTGGAATTGTCTGATTTCAAAAACCAAAATGTGGGTCAGACTTCATATGTAAAATTTACAACCAGTCAATTAATAAAATTACCACATGTAATATTTGGGCATAATTGATGTATTACTCAACATAACATTTGTTTAATAACAATAAACAATGTGTTCGTTTTTTCTGCAGTGACCAAACAATGTCATTTAATAACACGACGTAGATAATTCATCTACATTCAATGGCGGACCCAGAAGAAATTGTTTATGTCTGCACATTTAGCGGTGGAAGTTCGGGGATAGCGCCCCCAAAATTTGTTTTGTAAAGACAGGTTAGATGAACGCTTTATGTACAAGGTTATGAACTCACTCATAATCTAATTGCTTCTATAACAAACTGCAGGCAATAGCTTGACCAATCATTTTTCCTTCTAAGTCTTACCAATACTCCAAAACAAATATGAGAATATACTCCAATACATCCATACATCATCGTTCTATTTTATAGTAGTGAATAAAAAAGTCAACACTGCCGATACAAAAGACAAGCGAAATCACAGTGAAGGTCTCCTCTGTAAAGATTAACTTATTTGAGAAGGTCAGACGTGCAATCAATCATCTCTTTTTATAAAAATGAAAAAGAAAATAAAGGATGAAGAGAACATGAGAATGGGTACGTGACAAGGGAGGAAGAATATGTTTTCTCTCTAATCAATTTGCATTGCTAAGTTGTTTTAACCATCTCTGTACGTTGCTAACTAATATAAGAGTAAATATTCTTTTTGGTCACTAACAAAAAATTCAGTCTCACTTTAATTCCTTACAAAAAAAATTAGTGACCTGGTCCTTATGAAATTCAAAGTGGACACATTTTAGTCTTTTTGAGTGACTAATGTGGATCTTTTTTAAATTTGTGAAAATTAATCCACTTTGAATTTCTTAAGAATCTCGAGACTAATTTTTTTTATAAGAAAATAAAGTGGGGACCGTATTTTTTATCAAGGACTTAAAATGATATTTATTCCTAATATAAATATTGAATCAAGTAAAAAAAAAAAATCATAATATTCATGTCCGCACTGCCGACATGTGCTACAACCTGCGCCCGCCACTGTCCGCATTAAGTTCCAACAATGTTATTTTAGAGCGTAAATCAAAGTATTTTAATAATTTTAATTTATTTCAAGATTATAAAAATTTTTATCATTATAATTTTTTAATTTTTCAATTTCAAAACGAAGTGAAAATGTAACAAACCTTTATTTGTTACGTGCATTCAAATTTGGGGGATTAAAAAAAAGGTTTCATACCTGAAGAGATGCCCAACCCTTTTTCAAGTCAGCGTTTTCAGTATCTGATTCATTAATCCAACCCCACAGGACCCTTCTCTGTTTGTGTTGGTCATAAAATGTCTTTGACGCATAGTATCTCCCATAGTCCAACTTCAACCCGATACCCACATCCTCATTCGGGTTATCGGGCACCCATGTATCATTTTCAATGAAGTATGTCCCAATTGCATAATGATCCACCTTTGTGTCATCCATACTAGCCTTTAACACATGTTTCACTGCTGGGCCATTTGCAGATGTATCCAAACCTTGAGACCCATTTATCGAAACCGGGTAAAAGTCCACACACTCCCACATACCCGTACCCGGGACCGTATGCAAATAGTGATCATTGAGCCCAAAGTGGATGAAATCTTTGGTTGTATAAACCAACGAAAGGCCTGTCTTGTTGACCTTTGAGCCAACAGTGACCCTCCATTTCTCGTCTGGCCCAATCCACGCAGTTGTTGGGTCACGAAAATCCTTTGAACCAATGCCTGGTGGAGGCACTAACACCGGGTTATCAGTATATTTGACCCAATCAAGGAGGAGGGGATCAGATAGGTTGGCGGGATATGCAAGATTTTGGACTTGCACGTGCTGATCAGTATAACCCGTGTAGAGCATCACGATTTTGCCATCTGGCAGAAGGGTTGCGGACCCTGACCATACACCGTTGATATCATACCAACTACTTGGAACCAACGCTATAGGGAGGTAGAGCCAGTGAATCAAGTCCCTTGATACAGCATGACCCCATGTTATGTTGCCCCACACAGCTGAATCAGGATTGTATTGATAAAATAGATGGTACCATCCCATGTGAAACAAAGGACCTGCAATAATACAAATATATAATCTCTGTTTATTTTATTTTATTTTTATTGCTGGATGTGTCAAAACAAGAGAAAAAAATACTACTTGATCATAAAAGAGACTTGACATTATTGTTCATTTAATTGTATCGCTTGCATAAATAAAATTATTTTATCATAAATACGAAATATTATGTTGACTTATGCGTAAAAACACGGATACTTGATATGATAGCCTTCAGCACGAAAACAACGTGTTAAGAAGTTCCCCTAACCCTTTACGACTCTGGCCAATTCAGAATTATAACATTCAAATTTCATCTTCTTAATTATAAAAATAAAGGGTTCACATTTTATTTTCTGAAGTTATTGTAGATAAATTATCTGCAGTCATTTCAATACCATGTCGTTTTGGAACAAAAATTATAGTATTTTTATAATTTTAATTTATTTCAATATTATTATAGTCTTTATAATTATAATCTTTCAATCCTGAAACGACATTATTTTGAGAATAAATACAGATAATTTATCTGCGGTTACTGCGTAAATATTTTTCTCAAAAATAAAAGTAACCAAAAGACTTAACCAAGTTGTTCTATCAAGATGAATCCGAAGCTTGCGAAACACATGGAAACAAAGCAGCAGTGAATGAATTGACCACGATTAGAGTTACGTTATCAAATTGAATTTTATTAAACTAATCCATGTGGACAACAGAGCTAAAGAAAAAAAATATTTTTATTGTGTATAAACTCGTTATCTGGAAAATTAATAACAAAAACAATTGCTTAAATATATATTTACATAAAATTATATCAAATATTTTATTTTATAATTTCACGATGACACAAGATGTGACCGACACCACAAGAAACTTGGATTATTCGAGAAAGAAGTTATTATCTGGTTAAGAAATACAAAAATAAGAGTATATTTTAACACTTGTTCACTTAAATATAATTTTGAGCTTTTTATCTTTGAAAACATTATTGGGAGAGTGACTATTTTATCACGCCTGGCAAAAAAGTTATCCACGTTAATAGTAAATTTTGTCAAAATGTCACCCGTCATATTTCGCTACACAGTGTAGCAAAATATGTCGCGTGATATTTTGACAAAATTTACTGTTGACGTGTCATTATTCTAACATTATTCTTGCTATATGAGGCTAAAAAAGTCCAAATGTGATCCAGCAGCAACATTTTAACATGCTAGATAGTATGCGAAGCTGGACAGAGAATTGAAGTAGTAAAATTTAGGGAAAAGTTCACCAATATTCTTGTAGTTTGCTTTAAAATTATTTATGCCTCCGTGATTTTTTCTATCACATATGTCCATGTGCTTTGTAAAAAAATAAAAAATCACAGGAGTATATATGATAAAAACATACTCTTTTACAAATCACATGAGCATATATGATAAGAAAAAAACCACAAGGACATAAATGATTCTGAAGTAAATCACGGGGACATTGGTGAACTTTTTCCTAAAATTTATTATTTCAAAGTTACCTTTAACACTTACAACAAATTTTTAATTAGACTACAAAAATAAAATAAAAAAAGTTTTTATAACCTCATGTAAAGCATGAGTTAGTAAAGGATCTTTCATGTCTATCACCAAACTTAAAAAAAACGTCATTTTTGTCTCTTGTTACCCGCCTCCTAAGGTAACTTTATCCCATCCAAGGCTGAACCCAAAAGAGAAAGCCATGTATGTATTTTGTTTTTTGAAAATATTTTTTTGATAATCAAAAATTAAAACAAAACAGATTGGGTTATTTTTTTGTTTGAGTATTGTGAAAACTTATTTTTGATATTTATTTTTTAAATAAAAAATAAGAACACATTTTAATTTTTTAATTTTGTTAATTTTTTTATTTTCACTTCAAATTTCTGTCATTCTTAGAGGTCGTTTGGTTTAACTTTTTCTAAAAGTAACTTTTACTACTTCCTTATTTTAAAAGTACTTTTTACAAAAGTTAAAGTTATTTATATTTTTATAAAATTATATAGTTTTGAAAAAAATATTTGACTTTTGACTTCTACTTTTTTGAGAAGTTAAAAATTTTAGCTTCTGAGAAAAGTAAGTTTTTGACTTTTTTATGACTTCTCATTTTTTTAAAAGCAGACATCCAAATGAACTAAAAACGAAAAGTACTTTTTTTCTTAAAAAAAAACAGCTTTTGAAGAAAAAAAAGCTCATCCAAACAGGCCCTTAGAGTTATTCTCAAAAGTCAAAATTTATTTGATAAATTTTTAATATTTATATTTTTTAAAATAATTATAAACAAATTTTAAAAAAAATAAAAAACAGGATCAAAGAGCCATCTAATTATTGTGGCTAATAATCCATATTTTTCAAAATCTTTAATGGCCTGTACAACCCTTTATCATCCCATCGTTTTGCTATTTGTGCTCAATTTATCCATTAATTCTTGTTTCTAACTTGTCCACGTATGTCCCTTTGTTATCATTTTTCTATGCATATTTAAGTTACACAACCACCTGTCACTGTCAGACTGTCAGCAGGTAAGGATACACATTGGCATTTTTTGATATTTTGCATTTTAACGTAATTTGAAGAAAAAAAAATACTTAACTGTGTAATGTGCTGTATCTCTATATGCCAACGCATAGGCATTTCATTCCAATAAATTACGAATTGAAATCATTATTGCTAAGAAAACTATTATATATATAGAATGAGAATGACTTTCTCATGAGCATTTTTTCTATTCTTAAGGCTCAAATTTATGATATTTGGTTAAGGAAAAGAAACTCCTTATATTACTTAAACAAATAGTTATTGGCGATACTTCTTTTAATTTACCAAATATAAATATATAATTAAGGAAAGAAGTCAAGAACTTGACAAAAAGTATATATAAATAGTAAAATTCGCAAACGAAGAGACGTACCATTAGGATCTGAAGCAGATTCAATTCAACCAAACACGCGCAGGGAACAGCAACCCAAACATGACAACCAGACATTGTTGATTAGCCTCTTCATCATAATTTATAGTAATAAAAAAAAAAAAAAAAAAAAAGGAGGGCAAAACTTGGAATAAAGTACAATTTGGAAAGTTAGAGCAACTCCCAACAAGTTGGAAAGCGAAAAAAAAAATGTAAATTTGACATTAAGCGATTCATAGTTAATTAAGTGCAATGAAATATAAGCACTAAGGACACTTACCATTCATCCAATTCTTTTCAGGTTGAAAATGGAAAGATGTTCTTTGCCAAGATAACATAGCATTTGTCCAATTATATGAAACTTTATGGGAAAGAGATGGATTTGACTTGGCTGAAACTCCCTCAGCAACACCTCTAGGCAGTAATTGCACGGAGATGAAAGGCTTCAGATTGTTATGCTGCTTTCCTAAGGGCTCATGGCTCAGGTTTATGAACAATGCAACCAATGACATTAGAGAAACGATGGAACCAATGATCACAATGGTACCCTTTAATGGTCTTCGACCACTGTCCCCCTCTTGGGAAGGAGGATGCAGCAAGGGAATACGTGGAGAAATAGCATGCTCAAGATCAGGGGTGATAGCCTCCATGTTTATTGATGAAGTTGTGGTGGGTGTCCTGCAGTTAAGAGGCCAGTGTTAATTATCACAAATTAAGGGAGGAGGAGAAATATGGATGAGATATGATATACGAGTAGTGGGAAATGGAGGACATGGAAAGGTAGGCTTCTTTTATATATATAGATACATTACTTGTGGGCAACTAGGAAGGACAGGTAGGACTTTAGGATAAAGAGTTGAAATTCAAACTTATACTTTTATTATGGGCATGATTTGTGAAATAAAAATGTTAATAATTTGATGTATAAGGTTTGCACACAATAGTAATCTTGACCGTTAATCAAGCAGGGGCTGCACGCAATTTTTGACATGTGAAGTTTTATTTTCTTGGACGGCTTAATTGAAAATTAAAATAATACTATGATTATGTGGGTGTATTAAATTGTTAGTAGCTCATTTAAAATTCAATCTAAAAACCATTGTAATTTTAGATAAGAAAAATTGTAACTTTTTTTGAAAAATTTAACTTTACATTTCTAAAATAATCTTCTACATTTGTAACTTTTGTTATATTTGTGAAAATGTATTTACTTTTTATAATGTGTTAGCTTTATTTTTAAAATTTTGCTTTGTTTATAGTGGTAGAAGGTTATGAACTTTGTAAGTAATGAATTATGAACGCAAATTTTATTTTATTTTTACTTTATATTTCATCTTTTAGTATAAAGAATTTTAATAAACTTAAAAGTAAGTTTATTAAGAAATTATGTGTTGTTATGGCAATGTGGGCAAATTTCTCCTGGGCTCTTGATCATGAATAAATCTTTAGTACTACTGTTGTACCAAAGATTCAATACATCTCACCAATGAAAATATTACATTTTAGTTAAAATTCTATTTTTTCTGTCAAATTTTCTCTCTCTCCTCTTATGTGTAATGCTCTCATTGATGAGATACACTGAATCTAGGTACAATAATAGTACCAAAAATTTATTCCTTGATCAGTAAATGTTTTTGTTAATACTGAGTTTTATTAACGCATATCTTTAAGATGTATATTAAAAAATAAAAATAATATTTATTATTCATTTTATTTATTTAAAAACATTAAATAATTTCAAATTTTTAATATATAAAATATTTATGTAATAACTATTTTCTTTTTTTAACACCGATCCTTAAGAAATACACATATAAAAAGTTAGACATTAACGAACAAAAATATTGTTTTCACATGCATTTGTAGAATATTTAAATCGTAAAGGAAAGGTTCAACAAGGGAATTTGAGTTGAATACAATATTACTCTTTATAATTATAGTCGCAAAACAGAAAGTAATCTATAATTACATAAGTAAGTGTTGGAAACAAAAAAGATTTCTATATATTTTAACCAAAATTCAAACTCAAAGTGCTAAAATCAAATTCCCTATTTTCTATTTTAGGTCTCTCTTCGCGGCATCATACACCTCTTTGACTCTATCTTTCTATATTATAGAAAAAGTTCAAGCAGCGAAATACCATACACTAACCGGCTACGATATCAAACAGACTCTCCCAAATTTGAAGGCCATGGGTAGTATAGTCTGAAGATGACGTACATTGACCAAATACGCCAAGTCGTTATCAATATATATACGTATAGATATATAAATGCCAACCAAGTATGGTGGATAGATTTTGATTGGGAGTTTAGTGGACCATTCTCTAATCATCTCAGCAGTTGAATAGAAAGAATAGCTGCAATTACAAACTCCCCATTATTTCGTTGCCGTGGCCTACTTTAATTTTAGAGAAATGATACTCTCATGCAACATAAGATACCTATCTCATGTTATATACTCATAGAATTTTGTGCCAATTTTTTCTTTTCTTTTTTCTTTTCATTTTAAATTGTGGACCCCACATATTTGTATCACCCACATGAGATAGTACTCTCATGTAACATAAGATTAATAAACCCCTTAATTTTATACTTATATATATATAGTTCGAAAGTTGTTCGGTGAATCTGTGGATAAAATTGTCAACCAATATTTGTGTACAAGATATATGCCATGTAATACAATATAGGAAATAATTATTTAAACATTAGCAGTAGCACGAATGGACCATTATGTCATTTAATAAGAAGATTTGAGAAGAACAGGATGAAAAGTGCTGAAAAGGCAAGTTTCACGCTAAATCACCTAATCCTTGTCATTTAAGAACTTTAGCTGGTATATTTCTGCATGATTTTCGTGCATCTGTTTAAAATCTCGTGTTTGAAAAATAAAACACATTTTCAGGCCTTCAGCTTAGTAAATAATGTAATCCAAAAAAAAAAAAAAAAACTTAGTAAATAATAATAATAAGTAGGGTTTAGTGTGTGTCATTCAAAAGGACACAAGTTCTGTCCTTTTAGTGACTTACACAGAGTATGACCGGTCATACTCTGTGTAATTCTGAAAAGTTACTTTTTTTCACTTTACACGTCAGCGATGTAACTGAGGAGAGAAAAAAAAGTAACTTTTCAGATTTACACAAAGTATGACCGGTCATACTCTGTGTAAATCATCTAAAAGGACACAACTTATATCCTTTTAAATAATAGTCTTTTTCCTTACTAAGTAGTAGTAGATGTTGTTCTGATAAGTAATTAAAGAAGTGTAGTTTTCCACACCAAAAAAAAAAAGTGTAGTTTCTATCTTGATTGTGTAGGTTTTAATTTTATCCCACCAAATAAGAATAATATTATTAAATCTGAACCGATCATCGATTTGATCGGAATACTAAGTTGCAGGTTCAATTGATAAAATTGAATTTATGTAAATACATATAATAAATATACAAATAGAAATACTGTGACAACTAAAATGATCTAGCTTAATGGTAGTGGTTAGCATTTTAACTCTCCAGCCCTTGAGTGTCCAGTTTGAAATGTAGGAATGCAATTGTGAGAGATATTTTGCCATAATTTTCAAAAATCAGTTTAATAGTTAGCATTGGTTCATGACTGATTCTTTACCCAGTTGCATACATGGCTAGTTCTGTTCAAAGGATCCGACGGATCAAGTCGAATCGATTTTAATAACACTAAATATAAAAAAATAATTAAATACATTGAACGATGTTAAGTGCAATTTTAATATCATTTAGAAGATATTTATTCACAACTAGTACGGAAATAATATTTATTTATCTTCACAATGAATTAATTAAATAATTTTCAATTATTTAAAGATAAAATATTAAAAAAATAAAATTATTAATATGTTATGCACCAAATAATTATTAAGTGAAAAACCCAGAATTAGGTTGAATTGGTGTCAAACCGGTACTGGAATTTTAGTCAATCCAATTTTGTGTTAATTTGGGTAAAATATTTTACAATTGCCCGGATGGAACCCAAGGCAAGAGGTTAAACATAAATAAGAGTTACCACCAAACCAATCATGTGTTGGTTATATTGCTTTTAATTTTATATTTATTATATGATTTTATTTTTTCTATAGTTACTTCAGATAAATTATTTGCAGTAAGTCCAATACGACATTATTTCGGGGAGAAATTATGGTGTTTTTGTAATTTTAATTTATTTCAGGGTTATTATATTCTTTATAATTATAATTTTTTAATATTTCAATCTCAAAATGATATCATTTTGAGAGTAAATACAAATAACTTATCTGCAGTAACTGCATAAATATTTTTTTGTTATTGTATAAATTTAATTGAACTAGTAACTCGTTGACTCAGTGTCCCAATCGAGTTAATAATCGGTACAAATTTAATATCATCAATGAAAATAACATCGGCTAAAAAACTAACAAAAAAATATAAAAATTATTGGGGGCCTAAATTTATGGCAAGTTGAAAAAAAAAATAAACGTAAATAAAAGAAGAAAAGTGGACGTTTCCTTTTATCCTGATTGACAAGTCACACGCAAATAAGTCGACTATAATACATTATTATACATCATATAATACAAAAGTAACCATCGAAAGAGACATGAGGTCACGGTGAGAGAGTCATACAATGGAGTATTAAATTTCAAACTTTTAAAAAATACAATTAGTATTATACGAGTATTTTAAATTTAAGTAAAGTTTTAAAAAAATTGAATGAAAAAATATTTGAAAATATAATATATAAAAATCATATATATAATTAATTCAAGTTAGATCTATATTATGTATAATAAAAAAATATACATTTTAAAAAGAATACGAATTTTAAATTTAAAAAAGGAAAAGTTAAGAATCACATATATTATTCTTTCAGAGAGAGTAAATTAAAAAATTAAGCCACTTTTAATCCGTGTTTAAAAACTCGGTCCGACCATCGACTCGGCTGAGGTCAGGGGTCACGGTGTCACCGGTTCAACCGGGGGGTCAGAGGGTTACTACGCTGACCCGATTTTATATATTAAAAAAATATAAATAGATATATCCTATATGAAAATATTAAAAAATAAATCACCAATCATCAAAGATTCTAAATATACTTAACATAATTCACCAATTACAACCGCGAGTCAATATTATACAACCTAATTAAAATATCAAGATATCAAAGTAAAAAACTTATATGCTAATGGGGTTACTACACTGACCCGGCTCTGCTTCTTTTGAAAAGGTCTCTGGCAAAGAAAAATTTAAAGGAAGTAAGAATGAATTTTTGCTTTCCATCGACAACTATAAAGATTTCATTTGAAGGGGTAAAAGTCTTACATTTTCTAGAAGATTCACGGCAGAATGGTGAAGATTAAAAACATTTAGGTCACTAGGATAGAATAGAACAACTAGATTTAGGTTTGCAAGCATTTTTATTTTTTATTTTAATAAAACAATATTGTTTCGTAGAATTTTTTTTAAAAAAAAAAACATGCAATGACCCCCTCTCTGACTCGGGAGTCACTGAAACTCGGCCGGGTTTTGGGGGTCGGAAGGATCGATATGCATATAGGGTCCAACTTGTGATCTCAACCCTCAGATAGGAGGGATCAGGGTTAACCCAAGTCAACCCGAGAGGTGGGACAGAATTTTAAAACACTGCTTTTAATGGAATATGTTATAGTTTACTTTATAAGAGTAAAACAACGGATGGTTAAGGAGAAAGAGAAG